AGAGAACGAAAGTGAACTCGTGCCCCCGAAAGATCCAGTTCCTCTCACGAACTTACCACAGCCTGCAATTGAAACCAGCATGACAACTAATCCACTCCCTCAACTTGAACCATCTCTTCAAAATAAACCGATTCCTAAATTGGCTCCAGCTCGAGATCAAGTCATGCCCCCTTCCGCACCAGTTCATCACATCAGCAGTTTTGAAAATACTTAAGCAGAGAATTCGTCAAATGACGAGTGTTCTAACAGACGGTAAGCTGATTCGGTGAAGATGAACATTCGTCATCTTCACGACAAAGCTAATGAAATCATGACTCGATTAGCTCAACCTCCTGTTTCTACTCTTTCAAGATTCCGAAGGACAGTGGTTACACCGTCGCCTACTGCTCAGGGGGAAGAAAAGATCACGAGTGCACCTGCTATGAAAAAGTTGACCCAACACCCTTGCCATTGTGCGGGACATGAAGAAGCAAAAATCCACATCCGAAATTTCCTTGCCACAAGAACCTATTGTTGCAGAACATGTCTTACCGATTCTGGCACAAGAACCTGCAATCGTAGAAAAGGACAAGTGTGTACCTTCTTCTTCTGATCTCTTAAGTCTCCCACAAGAACCTGGTTTACCAGAAGAGACGAGAGAAGAGATCATTGGGACAAGTTTTGTTCCACCCCCAACACGAGATCAGTTGCTTCGATAGTCTATCTTCGAAGAGTATCAACGAGTGTTACGGTGGCAGCAATGGCGAACATCACCTCTCGACGTCTTTCTAGCACGAGTCGATGAAATGAAAGCAGAAGAAATTTTTGCCTTAGACTGGCTAAACACGATGGATATCTATGAGGCGGTTCTGCTTCCAAAGATCTCACGAACGTACTCTTACAAAATCACAAATCGGACGCTTGGAAAAGATAAAGCCCAGACTGCATTGAAATCATGAAACCATCTTTCGATGATCCAGCTTTCGAGGCTGAAATGAAGAATCTCAGAGACGCCATGCGGCTATCCAAAATCAAGACGGAGCTTGGAAAGCTCTACAAGAATGATCCTCATTGCAGCACCAGCGGCACGAAATCTGTTGTTGAACACATTTATCTACCTACTGACACACAAGAAGAGCAAGTCTCTAAGGGAAATGATTTTGGAGGAAAGACTTCTGAACTCATGCAAATAAGCACCATCTTGAAGAAAATGTCACTCCCGAAAATATTGAAGCCGAAAAGAGTGATGTGGCAAAGGAGACAGATGATGAAGAGGACGAGCACATTTCTGATAGAGAAGATGATGGTGTTGACAACGAGAAGGATCCGGATGAAGAAGAAAATGATGATGAAGATAAGGAGACTGATGAAAGAAGATCAAAATGATGATAAGGATTACAATCAAGATGCTGATACTGATGATGACCCGAAAGATAGTTCCGATGGAAGTTCTGATGCCAGTTCTAGTGATGATGACGACGATGATGACGAATCTCACGTTATTGGCCAAACCCAGATGATTCCTCCTACAGATCGATACTCTCGTTCAAAGGATGGCAGATCCTGGGTACCGAAAGCATCCGATGATGGTAACTGGGAAGCATCATTGGCAGTAACACCTTTCATTCCAAGTCAAACTGAGCATGGCACTCAGACCGACAATGAAGATCTTAATATTGATGCAATCTTGCAACTTTTGACACGAACAATTGAGGCACTTCAAAAGCAACATCAACGTTACAATGAACAACGCATCGAGGACGCTGAAATCATGACACGAATGACTGGTCAAATGTCCTTCATCAACGAAAAGCTCACCTTCTTGGTCAAAGATTCTCAGAAAGAAAGACCATCTACTTCTCAAGCCCCGCAGCCTGTTGACCTACGTCGTCAGATAGAACTACTTGAGAAAATTACAAAGGAGCAACATTCGCTCAAACTATCTCAATTTGGTCTTAAAGAGCGGGTAGATCTATCGTGTCTAAAGGTTGACACAGCCAGTGATAACATCTCTGCCATGGCCAACTATCAGTTGCAGATATTGAACTATGTCATGGAACTTACTCTCAAAGTTGACTCACTTCTGAAACCGTCTGATCCTCCCACTGATGGTGATGATGCCAAAAAGGGGGAAAGGAGATGAAGAAAAGCTGACGATGATGAAGCATATCAGGGAAAAAGCAAGGAACCCGAAAGAAGGAATGAAGGAATTCTCGTCCATACAAGCAATACACCTTCCTTCGAGCCTCAACAGCAAACACCATCTGAGTCAAGATAGCAAACACCTTCCAAGTCTCGTCGACAGTCTATAAGACCGAGACCCTCCTATGGTTCACAGTCTACGTATTCTTTTGCAGGATTATCTCATCGAGAAAAGATAAGTCTTCGACGAAAGTTGATGAGAGATGACAAAGTAACAATGGATGGAGCTGGAATATTCGTCAACTGTGAAGAATACAAAGAAGGAAGTGGATTAAGATTCGAAGGATACAATCTGCCAATCTGGTTGAAGAAAATGGATGATCATTATCGGCAAGATTATCAATGGAAGGAGAACAAGAGAATAAGAGAAGAAAATGAAGCTAGAAGACTAAAACAAGAAGATGTAAGAAATTGAAGAAAACAAGAACTTACAAGATATCAAGAGACACAGGAGAAAATCAAAGAAGTTTCGAAGATAGGAAGATATGCAGACTTTGATGTCAAATATGATGCCATAGCAAAGGTTCACCGAGAATCAAGAAAAAAATTACATTGATGGAATGAACTCTATAGAGCTCATACAATGGTGGAATCATGGCATCATCTCTAGACGAATCATACTTGAAGCATACAACAATTACACGAGTTATAACTTTGGTAAAAAAAATATGAAGCTCAAGTTCGTGAAAGACCACTCAGAGAAGTTAGAGTTAATATCAACAATGAAATAGACTTTGACATCATGCTCGAGAAGCAAAAAGAGCGAGACGAAAAAGAAAGGATGGAAGCTCAATAAGCGAAACAAAGTCTCTTGGCCGTGTAATATGTTTCATTTCCTTTAAGTACTTTTTATTTTGTAATCAATTTTGCTTAATGAATATCTCTTTTACGTGATCTTTGAAGTACTTTTGGTTCTTAAATTAAGCAGTTTTATAATTGTTTATGGATCCTTTTGTACACTTTTAAGAAAGGTTGTTTTGTAATAAAAACTTTCCTTTAAAGGACATCCTTCAGTCTTATGAATAAGAGTATAGGTTTTGGCATCATCAAAAAGGGCGAAATTGTTAGGAACAAGTGTATATAGATTTTGATGATACCAAACTGTCTTAGGATGTAGACCCCTATTTTTTGTTTAATAGAAAATCTCGTATACATAGGCATGAAATGTTAAATCATGCACGAGACTAGTAGAATAGGTCTACATGAAGACTCGAAGATGATCGAAAGTTGCCTGTAAATGAAAGGAGGACTAAAGCAAGTCTCGGATGGACTGCTTCGACAAAAATGACTTTCATTCAAGAGGAAAGGACGAAAGATGAGGAAAATCTTTCAATCCCAAATATGCGAGTCAAGGACAGACTTGTTAAAAGACAACTCTCATTAATAGAAACAATGAGAATGTTGTCTATCATTCAGTTGAGCAAATCGTTCGGACAAAAGGTGTCCTAGGAATGATCTTCACTAAAGACAAGGAACATTAAAAGACTTGTACTATCTTGTCAGTGAACAAGGACAAAAGCCATAATGTTTTTTGCTCCAACGGCTACACAGTACAAATGCATTTAATGCCCATTGCCCACTAAGTAATACACATTGGTTTTTAGGTTTGAAATTTTCATCTCCCTCCAACGGATGGATTTTTCCACCTATAAATACCTCTCTTCACCATTGAAGAAGGTGCTGGTTAACTCACTCTCTCTATCTAAGAAAAGCATTTCAAAGCAGTTCCATCTTCTTAGGCTTTTCATAACCAGTGTGTGCTGTGAAGTTTTTTCAAAGGCATATCCATCCTCATACTTCACAACCTGAAGCTGTCTTGTTCTTTTCACAAGTGAAGATCTAATCAGACATCAAGACAAGCCTCAACCCGTTGGAGAAACACCAAATCTCTTTTCCAACATCTCAACTCAGGAGTTAGTTGATAGAGGCGGAGTAAACTCTAGAAGTTGAAAAACCTATCAAGTGGTTGTCCGGCTTAGTGATCAGGGAAGCCAGCTTGAAGTAGTTTGTACTAGGAGTGATAGTGCAAACCCTTTCACATGTTGTGAAAGAAGAGTGGAGTAAGCACAGTTGGCCGAACCACTATAAAAATCTCTCTGTCTCACTCTTTTTACTTACCGCTTTTACTTTCGTGCTTTGCATATCATATCATATCGACCAAACGCATTTTCTCATAAACACGAAAGATTGCAAAGAAAAATAAAATTGAAACGACATTTCCGCTGTGCGTCTCTCCAAAAGGAGAAAAATCGATTAGAGTCTATTCACCCCCCCCCCCCCTCCTCTAGACTCTCTTTGACCCTACCGGGACCAACAAAACATAATCAATTAGATAAAATAATTTGAATAACAATATATTCATAAATACTTTTAAATTTTAATTTCTTTTAGTTAGATCGATTTTTCTAAATTAATTCAAATACAATAAAGTATATTATAAACTTGTATACTACATTAATTAAATTATTTATAAAAACTAGACTAAAAGATCATTTATTTTGTTAATTAAATGATTCATAATAAGTATACTAAAAATATTTAATTTATCTTGTGAAGAAATGAAAGAGAGAAGATAATTAAAAGTGTTGCTAATGAGATTTGAACCCATGACATAAGCCTTTATAGCATAAAATTTAGAGTTCCCCCAACTAAACTACTCAAACTATTGAGATTTTTAACATAAATATAGATTTTATATAATATTTCATGCTATATATTATACATATACATACATATATATAAAGGGGTGGGGTGGAGGGAGTGGGGCAGCTGCCCCCACCGCCCATGTCTATAAGGTACAAAAATGATCTTCATGACTTTCAAGGATAGAAAAGTTTGGTGAACAAAAGCTCACTCCATGTATCTTGAACTCCAGGCAAACACCATTGGATACAATCTGCATAGCTCACAGGATTTGCTAGTTGTTCAGCTGTCAAAGCCCCTAATTGTTTCTTGTAAATTGATGTGTGACCATCCTTTCTATAGTTTGAGAGCCTTGTAATGTTTAGGAGTGTTATTTTCACATTCGGCTTGCCAAACACCTCGTCAATTATTTGTAATTTTCTTTTAAACGAGCTTGGTACATCGTACTTAGGATCTTCTATGAGCATCGTTTCGTTATAGCAATTGCCTTTTTGGTCTCCTCCCCATAAATCGTTTCTATATTCAAGAACAAAACTTAGTGATATGATCAATCTAATTAAGAAAGTGTAACTTTATGGATGAGATGAAGAGTAAATTACCAAAATATCACTCAACTATAGTGATTTCATTGCTTTAATTGGTTTTTGACTTTCAAAATAGTTTGCTCAATAATGTTCTTAACTATCAAATTTGTACCTATTTTAGTTTGAGAATAAAAATTTGGGTGAAACTGTAGGTGCCTTCAAATGATTAAAATAAATACAAATTTGATACTTAACTACACTATTAAACGAAATTAATTAAAATGGTAAAAACACTATAATCTATAGAGAGTATATACACTAGCTATCCATATAAATGTTTTTAACATCTGATGTTAATTTCCAATAGAATTAACTTCATCTTTGGTCCCACGACTTTTGATATCTTATCATTTTTGGTACACAATTTTAATTTTTTTTTCAATTTTGGTACCTAACTTTGTTATTTTTATGAATTTTGGTCCTTTCGGCCAAATTGACAGCGAAATATTGCCGAATTTTATATTTTAGTGACAAAATCGTCATCCCAATGAAAGATCTTCAATATCTAAACAAAAGAAAAATCATATTAAGATAAAAACAAGAGTTCACCAATCGTCAACGCTATAAATCTCATAGATCTGTGTGTAGTTTCTGTCTGTCTTCCCCATTATTCTAGTCGATCAAACACCTATAAATATGATTTTACAATGATTTTGTTTAGATATTGAAGATATTTCTTTGGGATGACGATTTTACCACTAAAAATATAAAATTCGACAGCATTTCGCCGTCAATTTGGCCGAAAGGATCAAAACTGATAAAAATAACAAAGTTAGACACCAAAATTGAAAAATGTTAAAGTTCTGCACTAAAAGTGATAGAAATTCAAAAGTCGTGAGACCAAAAGTGAAATTAATTCTTTCCAATAAAAAGAAGAAAATTAAAATTAAAATTATTGTTTCACACATCACTAACCTTCTATGATTTGGTGAGATGTCAGTGAAAAATACCCTTGTTTTAGATGGATCCATATTCTCCTCCACCCATTCCAACATACTCTCCAATGCCATACGATAAGCATCATCTGAGGACACATCTATAATGTTTTTCACCTTGTCTTCAAATGATCCTTCTCTGAATTAATATCAACACTAATATTATCTTTAAGAAGAAACTTATATCATTGATTTTTTATTAAAAGTAATAATCATATATTTACTTACAATATCTTGAAGTATTCATCAGCAACCCACCAAATATATGTTTGTAACACTAAAATGTCAACACCTTTCCAATGTTGTCCATGAACATTAATTGAACCCCTACGAACAATTCGGCCATGCACTGTATGCTTTTCAGGGTTATCCGCATTTGATTCCAGTAGGAATGGAGCATAGTAGAATTCAATCTTTGCACTATATTCCTTAAATACAACAAAACAACGTTAATCATAATATATATAAATTGTGTAGTGACTTCTCCCACGTGGGAGGTCATGAGATCGAGCTTCAGTGGAGGCGTTGTTACGTTGACTCTGTGTGCTTCATTAGCTTGACAAAGTATGTTTGAACGGATGCTACAATGTAATAGAGTCAGTAGCATTCAAAAAAATAATTGTGTAGTAGTCCAGCTATCAAATCGAGCCAAACACATACAAAAATGGGTTTGTACATTTGCGTGGCCTATCAAATAGTAATCGACCCATGCATACAGGGGTGGAGCTAGGATTGGATAATGCGGGAGGTCAACTACTGTTGAAATACTAAATTAAATACACATTGATATCCATTTAACATATTTTAAAATAATCATTATATTACAAATTCACTAAAGTTTAGAATAAATCATTTATAATTGAAACTATATTAAATTATTTTGCAATATGCTTTTAATGTACATTGCTTTGTGAGATTGAAGGAATAAAAACATTCGCACATGTTTTAAAAGACTATTGATTATTTATTGAAAAATGAAAACATAATAACAATTGCTTTCTCAAATATAAGTACTACAAAATTTTTGCATTATTATGCATGTTAAATTAAATACAAAATTTACCACATAACCACAAATCTGCATAATTAACCAAACAAATGCACCTTGATATCCATTATTTAGAATCAAACAAAACAACTATTTAAAATAAACAATAAAATATGAAACAAAAATTAACCAAACAAGTAGTTAAAAACAGAAAAAAAAAAAAAACAAAAAACAAAACAAAACAAAAAAAAACAAAAAAAAAAAACAAAAACAAACAAACAAACAAACAAAAAAAAAACAAAAAAAAAACAAAAAACAAAAAACAAAAATTAACTTAAAAAATATTCATAGATTTTAATAATGACAAATTATCTTGTTATAGCGTATATGACGAATATATGTATGGTTCTAGAGAGAGAAACTAGTAAGTAGATTAAATGAGCTTTGAATGTGAGTCAACAATATAGAGAAAACATTGTTAGGACTCTAGTATTAGTAGTCTAGTAGAACTCTTTATACTTGTCTTCTATATTAGTATTGTACAGACTATTATTCGTTTTCGGTTAATCAATACAATCCTCATCTGGTATCATATCTAGGTTTCTTTCCATGGCAGCTTTGGGTGGGAATAATGATGGATCTGTTCGTGATTCTTCAGAACGGACCGTCTCCGAGGTTGCCTCCACCCCCATTTATCCGTCTCCGAGCTTGTCCAGTGCTCATCACTTTGTGTCGATCAAGCTCACCGCACACAATTATCTGTTCTGGCGTACCCAGATGCTCCCGTTTCTCGAAGGTCAGGGGGTGTTGGGCTTTGTTGACGGCACGGTGGAGTGTCCGCCGGCAGCCTCGTCGGCTTCGTCAACGGCAGACAGCGGCAGCACTGCCTCGGCAGTAGCGTCGCCGGTGGTGCAGTGGCGTCGACAGGACAAGGCTGTCCTGTCTCTCTTGATCTCGTCCTTGTCTGACGAGATGCTACCGTTGGCTGTGGGCCGACCGACGTCGCGTAAATTGTGGTTGGCGATTGAGCAAGAGCTCGGCTCGGCAACGCGGTCTCGCGCGGTTCGTTTGCTCAGTGAGCTGCAGCGTTTGTCGCAGGGGGCTTCGTCCGTTTCGGATTATTTGAACCGGGCGCGGATTTTGGTGGAAGACTTGGCCCTTGCTGGGCGTCCGGTTCCTCTTGATGAGCAGAATATTTATGTCTTCCGTGGTCTGCGGTCGGATCTTCGCCCGCTCGTTGCTCCGTTGACTCGTGGTGACCCGGTAACTCTCTCGGATCTTTCCGATTATTTAATTTCTCAAGAATATATCTGCGCAGGTGATGGTCCGGTTGGTGCGCCGGCTGCCTTGACCGTTCACCGTGGTGGCCGGGGCGGTCGTGGCGGAGGCCGGTTCTCCCGAGGTGGCTCGGGCAGTGGGGGTTCCGGCGGCAGTGGTTCGGGCACCGGCGGTTCGGGCAGTGGCGGCCGTGGTCGCGGTGGCCGGGGCCGTGGCCGTGGTCGCTCGGATGTGCGTTGTCAGATTTGTGACAAGATTGGGCACTCGGCGGCGAATTGTTGGCGCCGTTATTCTGAGTCGTCTGGTCCTCAGGCTAATGTGGCTTTTTCTGGTGGTGAGGGTGGTTCGGTTGACTCTCACCAATGGTTTCCTGATACGGGGGCCACTAATCATGCCACTCCCGATTCCTCTCAGTTGATGTCCTCGGCAGGCTATGACGGTTCGGACACTCTTCGTGTCGGCAATGGTGAAGGTATGCCTATCTTTAGTGTTGGGTCTACTTCGATAGCCTCGTCTTCTAGAGTGTTTCGATTAGATGATGTTTTGCATGTCCCTGGTTTGTCTTCTTCTTTAATTTCTGTTCAACGCTTTGCTAAAGATAATCGTGTCTTTTTTGAGTTTCATCCTGACTGTTTTCTTGTGAAGGATCTCTTGACCAGGGAGGTGGTTTTTAAGGGGGGAACTTCTGGTGGCTTATACTCCTGGCCCGCGTCTTCTGCTCGTTCTGTTGCTTATGTTGCTGCGCGTGCTTCGTCTTCTACGTGGCACAAGCGGCTTGGTCACCCTCATACTCGGGTTCTTCGTCAGATTTTGCAGTCTTCTGGTGTTAGTAGTTTTAATTCTAGTGATCTATCTCGTTTGTGTTCTTCGTGTCAGTTAGGGAAGTCATCCCGTTTTCCTTTGCCCCGTGTTGAAACTAAAACTACCCGTGTACTAGAATTGGTTTATACTGATATTTGGGGCCCTGCGCCTGTGCACTCTGTGAATGGTTTTCGTTACTTTGTTTTGTTTGTGGATGACTTTACCCGTTTTATTTGGTTTTATCCGATGCGCTTAAAAACTGATATATATTCCATATTTGAACGGTTTCGGTCACTCGTTGAGCGCTCGTTCTCACAGAAAATACTTTCTATTCAGTCTGATTTAGGGGGAGAGTATAAGAAACTTCACTCTACCTTTGAGTCTCTTGGCATTCGTCACAGGCAGTCCTGTGCATACACACATGAACAGAATGGGCGGGTAGAACGCCGTAATCGGCATATAGTTGAGACTGGCTTGGCCCTGATGGCTCAAGCGTCTGTCCCATCTCGTTTCTGGGACTATGCGTTTGAGACTGCTGTATACTTGATTAATAAAATGCCTACCAGTGTCTTAAATAATGAGTCTCCTCACTCTCGTTTGCACCGGTCTCCTCCGTCCTATTCCTTTTTGCGTGTCTTTGGGTGTTTGTGTTTTCCTTTATTGCGTCCCTATAACCGTAATAAATTGGAATATCGTTCTTCTCCTTGTGTGTTTTTAGGGTATCCTGACTCTTTTCGTGGCTATCGTTGTATGAATCCTGTCACTAATAAGGTCTTTATCTGTCGCCATGTGCGATTCGATGAGTCCGTTTTTCCTTTTGCTAGATCTGTTGCTTCGCAGGTGGTGTCTCGGCCTCCAGTGGTGCCGTGGGGTGTTGCCCCCATCGTGCCTATCTCCTCTTCAGTTATGGAGCCTGTCGATGATACACCGGTTCCGGATATGCCCGCGGGTCCGGCTGACTCTGTCTCCACTGAACGGACCGTTTCGGCTGTCCCTAAAGCTTCTCGGGGTCGACCTCGTGGTAGTAAGAACAAGGTGGCAGGTCCGCCCTCTCATGTTATGGCAACGAGGAGTCGGGGCCCGCAGGAGCATGTGGCTCTCGTTTCTGCCGCTACAACACCCGAGCCGACATGTTATTCTCAGGCTGTTGCGCATCCGGAATGGCGTGAGGCCATGGATGCTGAGTTTAATGCTCTCCTACACAACCAGACTTGGACTCTGGTCCCGTACACTCCAGGTATGAATGTTGTGGGTTGCAAGTGGGTGTTTCGGGTGAAACGGAATGCTGATGGGTCTATTGAGCGACATAAGGCTCGTCTGGTGGCCAAAGGTTTTAATCAGGTCGCTGGTAAGGATTTCTTTGAGACTTTCAGTCCGGTGGTCAAGCCAACCACGGTTCGCCTTCTTCTGTCACTTGCTCACTCCCGTGGTTGGTCCATTCGTCAGCTGGATGTCCACAACGCCTTTCTGAACGGTAACCTGGCGGAGACAGTGTATATGCGTCAGCCGCCTGGTTATGAGGACAAGTCTGTTCCTGATTATGTTTGCCATCTACAGCGTTCATTATATGGACTGAAGCAGGCTCCTCGTGCCTGGTTTACCCGATTGCATGACTTCCTGATCTCTGTTGGCTTTGTTCCGTCCAAGACTGACGTTTCGTTGTTTATATATTCTGTCAGTGGTGTGCAGCTTTACTTTCTTGTGTATGTGGATGACATTTTGGTCATGGGATCGGACTCGAGCCGTGTTGATGGGCTTGTGGCTCAGCTTGCGCGTACATTCAAGATTCGGGACATGGGACCCCCGTCTTTCTTTCTTGGCATTGAGACGATGTCACTATCTGATGGTATTCTTCTGTCTCAACGGCGTTATATACAGGATATTCTTAGACGTGCAGGCATGGTTGACTGTAAACCGGTTTCTACACCCGTTTCGGTGGCTCGGTCTGATGTTGATGATTCTACTCCGTTTGCTGATCCTACTCACTACCGTAGCATTGCGGGTGCTCTTCAATACCTGACGGTGACTAGGCCGGATTTGTCTTATGCAGTTAACAGGCTTTGTCAACGCATGCAGTCGCCCACCACTGCGGACTGGGCGGTTATGAAACGTGTTCTGCGGTATGTGAAAGGCACTCTTGGTATGGGTCTATGTATTCGCAAGTCGGAGTCTCTTGCATTGCATGCGTTCTCGGATTCGGATTGGGCAGGTAATCCGGATGACCGAAAGTCTACGAGTGGGTTTGCCGTCTTCTTGGGGTCTAATTTAATTGCTTGGTCTTGTCGGAAGCAACGGACAGTGGCGCGGTCCTCTACTGAGGCCGAATATAAGGCACTGGCTGATGTGGCGGCGGAGGTCACATGGTTGGTTTCTTTGCTGCGCGAAATTGGCTTCCCTCCGGAAGCTGCGCCGGGGCTGTGGTGTGATAATCTGGGAGCAACATACCTCTGTGCTAATCCGGTTTTTCATGCACGAACTAAGCATGTTGAAATCGATTATCACTTTGTTCGAGACAAGGTTGCCAAGAAGGAGTTGCAGGTTCATTTTATTTCCACGAAGGACCAGCTAGCTGATATTTTCACCAAGCCACTTGCATCTGCTCGGTTTTCATTGCTTCGGGACAAGCTCAATATTTCGAATGCTCCACCTTGAGCTTGAGGGGGAGTGTTAGGACTCTAGTATTAGTAGTCTAGTAGAACTCTTTATACTTGTCTTCTATATTAGTATTGTACAGACTATTATTCGTTTTCGGTTAATCAATACAATCCTCATCAACATAATTTGAAATAGGAGAGAGCTGAAAAAATTGAGAATATGAAGAACTTTATAACTTAACTTGTAAGATTAATTTAAGTGGGAAGAGAGCCAAATATTTTAATTTGAAGAGAGAACGAAATTTTGATATTCTAAATAATATTTTTTTAAATTTTAATATTATATGTAATATTTAAAAAAAAAATTGGGGTGGGGTGGGAGGTGCATGGGTGGCCAAGGCCCCCATGGCATACACTTGTCTGCATACATGTAAAGGGAATGTTGAGTATATAAATTATAAATAATAAATTTCTCATTCAACTATCAATTTAAACTTTTATTTCAGACAAAATACACTATTCAATTTGTGTAATGCATTTATTAATTTAAACTTTAGTTAAGACGGAACACATGTTTAAAGAGTAAATACTCAAAATGGTCCCTCGACTATAGCTAAATTCACAATTTGGTCCTCGACTTTCAATTTCAACCAATTAAGTCCTTAACTTTGTAATTTTAACACAATTTGGTCCTCTGTCTATTTGACCGTTTGTTGACTGTGATTTTCGAGGATATATATGTAATTTCATGGTCCATCGTCGGTTTTTTAAGGTTCCGGTTGCATTTCCAGACCGCACTGTTACATTCGAATCCACTGCCGAAAGCGATCTACCAAATTCGGTCGCCTTTCTTCATCCTCCCTTTGGATTCAATGTAGTTGAGTTCGTACCAGAGCGAAGAAGACGACGTGTTTCCGAACCGGTGCAACGTCATCCTGGAGGCCTCCACGTGCTCCGACGAGAGCTGAAGGTTCTTCTGGAGATCGTCGATCACGGTCAACAAACGGTCAAATAGATGGAGGACCAAATCGTGTCAAAATTGCAAAGTTAAAGACTTAATTGGTTGAAATTGAAAGTCGAGGACCAATTTGTGAATTTAGCTATAGTCGAGGCACCATTTTGGGTATTTACTTATGTTTAAATTTAGTATCTGAGCCAAATCCATGTAATGGTATAAGTTCCAACTTCTATGTCACCCTTTAAAAAAAGACCTATGTCAAACGTATTCTGTGGTAACCCTAGAAAAAAGAAAAAAGAAAAGTAACTGACTACTTGCACACGTGAATTGAGCATATATATTATATGAAATATAAATGTGCAACGATTATGTCCACCTGTTGAGCATTGCGCGCGCGCGCGCGCGCGCACACACACACACACACACACACACATATATATATATATATATATATTAGGTTAGAATTTTATTTGAGACAAAATACATTATTCAATTTTATATCAGAGTTAAACTATGCAAAAAGTCCAATAACAACAAGGCTGTTATTTTTTCTATTTGTCCATCATATATGTTTGTTTTATTTGTTCAATTATCAATTAGTCCACTCTTATTTTTTTAATGTTTTTTTCCAAAGTAATCAAATTTATTAAGTGATACAATAATAAAAGTATGATGTAAAAAATTATTGTATTGAGAATTGAGATGCCTAAATTGATGCAAATTTTCAATATTTTTTTTAAAAACAATATTTAAATACCTTAGCTGTGAAAATAATTCTTTGGCCAGCATTTTCAATGGATTTGGCATTCTCCGGAATGAACTTTTGAAGAAGGCAAACAATGGAATAGTAGTGGCTTCTACTATGTGAATCACCTGCAAACATCATCCTTTTTCCTCTAAGAGCTTCAAGCATCATCGAAGCATTAAAACTGTAAATTTAGTAAAATCAAGTTATGATCATGAATGAAAATTATGGTTTAAAAAAAAAAAACAAAAATGAATTGAACACTTACGTTAGTAAGAGTAAAAAAATGAAATAAAAATATATACGTAATATTACCTTATTCAGTTATTGTGTACAAAATAATGTATTTTTCAGTACTCAAATAATATATTTTATGTATATATGTAATGTACTTTTAACTTATTTATGGCACATACAATGATGGTATAAAATTACTCTCATGGCATACCTAGGTACCGAGCAACTATTAGGCTGCCATTTCCAATGAAGATAATCCTTGTCAGGGCGACCATGTGCTAAGCAGGTTTGTTGTGGGAGTATATAAGGACACTCATATTCCTCGTACAACGGCCGAGATTCCTCGTCTCTCACCCACCGCCCGCTAAATATGTCGCACCCTTTCGTGCTCATTCCAACTGCAAATGGTAGCCTATCCTCTTTCTTCTGCTCTAACACCAAAATCACCCAAAATAATTAAATTTGATGAATATATCAAGGAATTCCTATCCCGTGGCTAAGACAAGGAAGCCGACCTCAAAGACAACATCAAGGTTCATGCCTAAAACATTGTAACTATTTTTGAGTGGGAAGGGAGGGAGGGAGGGGGGGCTCGCCCCAAGTATCCACATTGAGGTTGAGGGCACAGGTCCCAACCTTAGTTCTTCCTAGTGACGTTACCGAGTTCAACCTTGCTTAGTGCCAAGCAGAAGAATCAATTAGTGGTTGAGTCAAGGAAGCCTACCTCAAAGACGACTTCGAGGTTGTCACTCAAGTTAAGGGATGGGTCCACGGGCGAAGCGCGCGTTTTAGCTATTTTCGAGTGGAAAAGGGGGGGGGGGGGGGCGGAGGGGCGGGGGGTGGGGGGTAGGATTTCGTCCCAAGTATCCACATTGAGGTTGGGGCCCGCTCCCTAGTGACGTTACGAGGTCTGACCTCACTTAGTGTCCAGCAGAGGAATCAATTAGTGGTTGAGGTCGTAGGTGTCAACCTCAACCTTGATACTCCCTAGAAGCTAGTCAGACCTCACCTACATCGTATAGAAGAGTTTGTTCTTGGTCGAGCCTGAGCTTTGGCCAAGAAATTAATAGCTAATCTTTCCTAACACTACGAAGCCCGACCTTGCTATTCCCTAGGTTTTGAGGCCCAACCTCACTCACCACCAAACGAATTAATTCCATCAAAATTATTTTAAAGGAAAACTAGAATTTATGTGGAGGGCATTATAGGAAACTCACTGGTTGTGGCGGTGGGCAGGAGTAAGTAAATGATGTGAATAATGAAGGTGAAAAGACAAGGACATAAAAGGAAATGAACACGACCATGACTAGTGGTATGAAGAAATAAGGGAAAAAGTCAGCTTTTCTAAGGAAGAAGAAGGAAGAAGATGATTCCAATTGCATCTTCATAGTTCCAATGACCAACTTTTTGCTTTTGTGATTATTCCTTCAAGGTTTTATAGTAGAATTTCATTCTTCCCAATTATAGTAGAATTTCATGATTTTATGTATCGTTGAAAATTAAATATAGAAATAATATGTTGTACTGAATGAGCGAATATACACTAATTAAATACGGAGTATGATGCATCTGTATTTTATATTGGGATCGTTTGGCTGGTACATAAATGGCGCCAAAAAGTTGAATTCCAACCCTAAAGACGTCATGTCCCGACCTGACAGAGCATCTGAGAGGAGGTAAATTATGATAACTCAGATAAAAATTATGATAACTCAGATAAACACTTATATTGACCCTGGTGAGACTCAATTCCGGGTCAATTGAGCTGAATTAAATCAAATCATGCATGTAACATAATTTAGTTGAACACAAAGGCTAGACATTTGCTTACTGCGCACAAGGAACTCCTTACTTTGAGAAGTTGTTCCCATAGGCCTATACTGCCACTTGTAAGACTCGATCCCAGATCATTATTCCCAAACTTCACTCATGTGATCAGGGGTGCTTCCCATGCAGGCTTAAATGGCAATATGGCATCATATAACTAACTGGTGGTAGTAGAGGATACCACCGTTACTTTTCTTAATTTTGCATTTGATTTAAAAAAAAAAAAAAAAAAATTAAAACTTATGGGTGTGTTGTCAAATGATTTAATTTTTTGAAATAGAAAATATATTTATTTGTACATTATTTTAATTTAAGAAATAAAAATTTTTAAAATAAAAAATTAAAGAAATGAAATAAATATGTTCTATGCTTTGTACGTACAATGTACGGAGTAGTAGATTAGTAAATGTTGAAACAAAAATAGTCTAATAAGGTTTCAAGTTCAACTCCAGATAGAAATATTTATTGACTTTTTTTAGTTTTTTTTTTTCTTTTGGATTAGACCACGAGGTGTTCTGAGCATGTTCTAACTGTAGGATGCACCTTTAAACCCGTACCATAGCCAAATTGATTTTTCAATACAAGAGGGGGTTCAAACTCCGACCTCTCTTAAGGGACAAGAGTACACAGCCACTCATGCCAACCAAGCTGGTTTGATTTTTTTTTTTTTAAATTTAATTTAATTTGAATCGATCAATTATGAATAATGATTATGAGTTTCCCTTGTACATATCCTTGGGTAGTGAATTTAATATTGATTGCCTTTATTTACATTTCACAAATCAAAATAAACATATCGTTAGAATCACGATACAAAATATATAGTTATTAAATTTAAAAAAAAAAAAAAAAAAAAAAAAAAAAAAAAAAAAAAACTTTCCACAATCAATTTTTGCAAACAAACAATCCTTAGAGAGTACAATTGGTGTACATTCGTTGTCTTTGATGGATAAATATAAAATATCAGCATAAATGATTCAATCATATAGAGAAACAAATCACCAGTAATTTCATTTCTTTTTCCCGTGCTAGAATAATCACTACACTATACACAAATCTTCTCATTCAACTTTCCACCTAAAATCTCATCCAATCCAAATGTATTTAAAATGTGACAAAAAGAAAAGCCAAAGTCATCAAGAGAAGAAAAACTTGTAAACAAAAGCTCATTCTAAGTATCTTGAAGACCTCAGGATGTGATACGGTTCAACCTATGAATTCATTATGAGTTCCAATTGGACCCATAACAAGATCAAAGTACAATCCGTTAAGACAACTTTTTATTGGACATGTAAAAATGGTGAAGTTTAAATGAAAGTTCAAGCTCAAATGAAGCCCAAGAGTTTAAAGATTATTTTAATTGTATTTGTCTTGATATTGAGTGTAATTATCTTCTTAAGAAGGAATTAGTTGGTATACCATGCAACATGGTCTACCTTGCAAGGTGAATCCTGGTTCTAAATGGTCTACCTTGCAAGGTGGATCCTGGTTCTAAATAGTTAGTTTGATCAATGAAAAGTAAACAAGATAGGCAAAATGGGACAGATGGAGTACAAATTGGCCCCCTAAGTCAAGTGGATAGTGTAATTGGGTCCCCTAAGTGAAAAAAGCTCCATTCAAGTCCCCTAAACCGGTAAAATTGTTCAATTAAGTCCAAGTTGACTTGTTTATCTGGTTAAATGCATACGGTGTTGACACGTGTCTTTATTTTATTTTATTTTTATTAAAAAATATTATTTATTATAAATTAATTTTTTTTTTTAAAAAAAAAAACACAGGACAGCCACGGCTGTCCTTGAAGAAGGAATTTTTTAAATTTTTAAAAATTTTTAATTATTATTATTATTATTATTATTATTATTTTAATTAATTTATAATAAATAATATTTTTAACAAAAAAAAATAAAATAAGGACATGTGTCAACACTGTATGCATTTAACTTGATAAATAAGTCAACTTAGACTTTTTTTTGAACAATTTTACCGGTTTAAGGGACTTGACTGGAGCTTTTTTCACTTAGATGACCCAATTGCACTATCCACCTGACTTAGGGGGCCAATTTGACACTTTTTTCTAGTTTATATACACTTATTTGGTGAAATTCTACATATAAATTTTTATGTAAAAGGTAAAAAATGCTCCTTATCATGAGGTCATAAATACTTAAATTTGTATAATAATAATCAAACTAGTTATGCTAGGTTATATCATGTTCAAATGATTACATTACAAATATTTTTTTTATTTTAATATTACAAGTTCAAATAATTTTACAAGTCTTTTATAAATTTTTTAATTTAGTAAAAAAATATTATTAATTTTAAATTTTGAGATTAATGGTTGAAATTTTATGTTAAACAAAAATAATAAATTTGAAAAAGTGTATATAACTATATATATATATATATATATATATATATATATATATATATATATATATATATAATTGCACTCAGGTGCGAATGCTTCGCCCAAGAGCGAAGTAGGAACGGATTCTGTCCGTCCACGTGTCCAGATCTAATGGATGAGAAACACTGATTTTTTTAAAAAGTTCGGTGGCATTTTCGTAAATAATTAAACATCGAAGTGCAAGTAAAATGTATTATAGGTGCAAGTAAAAATTTACACTGAGTATCAATACTAAGTGCACCTATAGTTATAAGTATTTGCACCTATAGTTCTAAGTAGTTGCACACATAGTTATAAGTAGTTGCACCTAGGTGCATGAATGTTCACGGGTGGTTTTCAGGGGTATTACTACCCGCTGAACTCATATCAATGAATGTTAATAAGGAAAATTTACATGCACTAATAGGTGAAAGTATGTGCACCTATAGTTATAAGTAGTTGCACCTATAGTTATAAACACACCCAGGTGCATGAATGTTTGCGGGAAGTGAATGCTAACAAGGCAAAACTACATGCACTTATAGGTGAAAGTATGTGCACTTGTAAGTGATTTTACTTGCACTTCGATGTTCAATTATTTACGAAAATGTCACCGCATTTTTTTAAGCTATTAGATCTGGACACGTGTCGCGCGCTGATTCTTTCGCATATTCCTTCCTGGGCACTTATTCGCACCTGAGTGCATCCCTATATATATATATATATATATATATATATATATATATATATATATATATATATATATATATATATATATAATAATTAGCATATTGTATTAAAAAGTTGGAGTTGTTAAATTGGATAGAATTTTGATTCTTAACTATGAGTGCTAATAAGTACCTTGTGCTCAAGTAGCACCTCTGTGGCTCCCTAGAGAAAAGATCACAGAATCGAACTCTGTGGTGGTGGATAGGGCTGTTAACGAACCGAACATAAAGACCGGAGGTTGTTCGTGTTCGTTTGTTAAGAATTTTGGAGTGTTCGTGTTCGTTTGTTAAGGTTTTTGAAAATCCTGTTCGTGTTTGTTTGTTAAGCGTTTTCATTAGTGTTCGTTAACGTTCGCGAACACGTAACGTGTTCGTTTACGTTAACGAACATGTTCGTGAGCGTGTTTGTTAATGTTCACGAACGTGTTAGTTAACGTTCACAAACATGTTCGTTAACAAGCACGTTCACGAACATGTTGGTTTACGTTCATAAACATGTTCGTGAACCTTTAATAACCAAACACCTGGACATGTTCATGATCACAATTCGTTCGTGAACAACAAATAATCTACGTTCAAGAAATAATCAACGTTCATGATCACAATATAATCTATGTGTGTGTGTATATATATATATATATATATATATATATATATATATATATATATATATATATATATATATATATATATATATATATATAAACGAACATTAAACGAGTTTGTTCACGAACATTATTAAACGAACACAAACGAGCTTGTTCACGATCTCTTAGCAAACGAGCATACAACTGTTCAAGCTCTGTTCGTTTATTAACCGAGCTCTAAATTTTGTTTGTTAATGGTTCGTTTACCTTAACAAACAAACATAAACTAACACTTATCGAACACGAACACGAGTAGTTTGTCGAAAACTCTGTTCGCTAACACCCCTAGTGGTGGGGTATTGACTCTTTTGGACTGCAGTAGATAAAGAAAGTATAGAACAAATACTACATTCTAATATTGGAATAGTATTCCAAAAAAAAAAAAAAAAAAAAAAACTATGAGGTCAATGAATAAAGCTTTATTCCAAACAAAAAATAATAATTATTTTAAATAAATAAAACAAAACATTCCAGCTTGGGACCTTGGCCCAAACCGACGACAAGCTGGGGACATATCCGGCAAATTATGCTCTGGACACCCGTGTCCATATTGAATTGTGGACACAGGCTCAAAACGACGTCGTTTTTTAAAAAAAACGCGTTATTTAGTTAAAAAAAAAAAAAATTTCGCGCATGTTTTGCCGTTAACGGCGTTATTTTTTATTTTTTTTTTTTGATTATGAATGTACAGTTATGCCGTTATGAATGTACAGTTATGCAATTATGAAATTATGAACACAGAGCTCTAACATTATGAACTTACAATTATGAACATATATAGTGATAAAATTATGACCATGGAGCTTTAAAATTGTGATATAGAGCTTCGAAGATTATGAATGTACAGTTATAGAGTTATGAATCTACAGTTATGGAGTTATGAATCTACAGTTATGAGATTATGAATCTACAGTTATGGAATTATGAATGTACAGTTATTGATCGAATTATGAACAAAGAGCTCTCACATTATGAACTTACAATTATGAACATATAGTGATAAAATTATGAACATAGAGCTCTAAAATTGTGAACATAGAGCTTCGAAAATTATGAATGTACAATTATGGAGTTATGAATGTACAGTTATGAAGTTATGAATGTACAGTTATAGAGTTATGAATGTACAGTTATAGAGTTATGAACGTACAGTTATGGAGTTATGAATGTATAGTTATTAACATATAGTAATAAAATTATGAACATATACTTCTATAACAAAGTGATCTGAAATTAAAAAAAAAAAAAAAAAAAAAAAAAAAAAAAAAAGAGATAACAGTGCCTAACGGCACTGTTACCCGTGTCCAGCAAGCATGCTGGACACAGGTCCAAGGCATAACGATTGGACATATCCGGCATGGGCCATCATTATTGTGTGGATCATAATATTTTTTATACTGTAAAATAATGTAATTCAATACAAAACTAATGTACATTATATTGTATTCAGGGAATGTACATTATTTTTGTACTGAGTGTACATTATATTGTATAATGTAAATACAGTACAAAAATAATGTACATTTAATATATTAAAAATGTACTTTTTGTTATGATTCACATAACATTGTGTGGACAATGGTCCACACAATAATTTGCCCAGCATGGGACCGTACCGACCCTAAATTACCTGAGTCGGTCCCAATCTGTGCTAGTCTAGGTCCGGGATTGGCCTAGACCCAGACTTTGGTCGCCTCTAGACTCTAGTATGTATACACTTGCATGCTATGCTACTAAATTGAAGTATACACTTCCTTGTGTGTTCTGATACCAAATTGAAGTACATGCTCTTTACATGCTATGATGCCAATTTGAAATTGTGTTTAATTTCAATTAAAAGTTTAAATTAATATTGAAATTGCGCACTTATTATTTTCAATCCAACATGAGGGAACACATTATTTGAATAATATTTATGTAGGAATTGGAACTACATAGCACAAAAAATTAAACTATTAACAAATAGAAGTACGTTATTATTATTAATCAAACTAGATACATAAAATTAGTCAAAAGTACTTTTATTGCTACTCACTTTAATTTAAAAATATAGTATATTCACAATAATTTTTTTTAACATAAAACACATTAAATTAAAAATTTATGCCAAAAGTTTCTCTCAATTTATTCTCTTTGTCTTGATAACCAAAATAGTAAAAAGGCAAACCAAAAAAAAATTAGAGAGTGGTAAGATAAATATGTGGTATAATCTATATTGTACAAAAATTTTCTTGATAATTTTCAAGGATAGAAAAGCTTGGCAAACAAAAGCTCGCTCCATGTATCTGGAACTCCGGGCAAACACCAATGGATACAATCAACATTTTTTGATGTCGTATTTCGCCATTGTTTCTGGTACATTGATACGTGAGCATCCTTTCTATAGTTTGATAGCCTTGTGATATTTAGGAATGTTATTTGCACATTCGGTTTGCTGAGCACCTCATCAACGATTCGCATTGTCTTTTTAAATGCTGTTGGTATGTTGTAATTAGGATCTTCTACAGGAATCGTTTCGTTATAACAATTACCTTTGTGATCGCCTCCCCATACAATATTACTATCATGAAAACGAAACATTAGTACATGATCAATCTAAAAAAAAGTGTTTCATAAATTAAGTTGAATGACATTGTGACAAACCTAAATTAGCCTCTTTTATGCTCACGACCATTTTTATATACTTCAGTCAAAAATAGATCAGATTTCTTTAAAGTTTTAATATTTCAACTTTATCGGTTGGGATCAAGGAGTTAATTACCAAAATATATTTGGATTATATTGATTTCACTACTTTGGTTCTTGATTTTCAATTTTGTCAAATAATATCTTTAACTATCAATTTTGTACCTATTTTAGTCATTCAAAATTCTAAAATATGTAAAAGTTTGGATGGAACAATATGTCCAAAGGATTTAAATAAGTACAAATTTGATAGTTAAGCCTACTGTTGGATGAAATTGAAAGTCAAAAATCAAAATGGTAAAATCAATATAGTTGAGGAGCATTTTCCTAATTTACTCGATAAAGAGTAAACACTAGCTAGCTAACTAGTATGTTTGGGAAAAGGGTCAAATAACTTTAAATTTTACACATAAGTGTAATTAAGCCTCTAAATTTTAAAAAGATATATTTAAACACATGAACTTGTCAAATGAGTCAAATAAACTCTATTTACCGTAACCAATAGGTTACTGGTAAACTACCACTGTTGGCCACCGTATACCACCCTAATAGCCAAAATTCAAAAAAAAAAAAAAAAAAAAAAAAAAAAAAAAAAAAAAAACCCACCTCTGGCACTAGAGAAGATGACCGGTTGCCATCTTCCGTGGAGAAGGCGCCAGTCAAGTCGCCTTCTCCACTAGAGAAGGCACCAGTCCGGTCGCTTTCTTTTGTGGGAGAAGGTGACCGACTTTCTTCAATCTTATAGGCGGCCAGCAACCGTTGGAACCTAATGACCGATTATCCCAGGTGAATAACCGACTATTGGCCTAGATTTAGATGCACCAAAATGATAAGTTTAAGTATTTAATTGAACTTTTTAAAAGTTCAAGGACTTAATTGTACTTTCGTGTAAAGTTCAAGAGTCTATTTGACTATTTTTCCTCTATGTTTTTAATATCTAATGTTAGTTTCCAACCAAAAAAAAAAAAAAAAAAAAAAAAAAACTACAATAAAAACTATTCTTTCACGCTTTCACTAACCTTCCATGAGTTATTGAGATGCCATTGAAAAATAACCTTGTTTTAGTTGTATCAATATTCTCCTCTATCCATTTCAACATGCTCTCCAATGCCATTCGATAAGCATCTTCTGGGGGCACATCTATACTACTGTTTACCTTGTCTTCAAATGGTCCTGGCCTGCATTTCAATAAATATTAGGTTATGATCAAATTTAAAATAGTTGATGTTGTTAACAAAATATATATATATATATATATATATATATATATATATATATATATATATGTATGTATGTATTCAAATGACGACAAGTATATTATAGAGGACTGTATAGACAGATGTAGTCGTATGCCATTAGTCTGTATGTTTGTACATGGCCTAATGTAATCGTATGCCATAATGTGTATGTGGTATACATAAGTTTATTAATTAATAGAATCTGAGTTCGAAACCTGATATTTACATGTATGCTAATGTGCTATTGTGTATTAAATTAAGTGCACGATACTAATTTGTCCGTGTAGTCCTCTATATATTACTGTCCTCATGTGAACTCAACCCTATATATATATACAACAATATCAACACTAGCTAATGGCTTAAGAATAAATTATATTATTGAATTTATTAACTTACAATATCTTGACGTATCCAGCTCCAGTAAACCACCAGAAATAAGTGTGTATCACTAAAATATTAACTCCTCTCCAATGTTGTCCATGCACATTCATTGAATCTCTGCGAATAATTCTTTCTTTTAATCTATGACTATCAGGGTCGTCTGAGTTTGATTCAAATAGGAGCGGAGCCCAGTAAAATTCAACTGTTGCATTGTATTCCTTAAATGTACCAAAAAACAAGCATACAATATTGTTATTCTCTCTATTCCTTATTATTATTCCTTTTTTTTTTATATAATATATATTTAAATACCTTGGCTGTAAAAATAATTCTCTGGTCAGCATATGCAACACTAGATTTGGCATTGTCCCCAATGAATTTCTGAAGAAGGCAGATCATGGAAAAGAAGAAACCTCTACTTAATGAATCGCCTACAAACATCATCCTTTTTCCTCTAAGAGTTTCCAGCATCAACGAAGCATTAAAACTGTAAATTTTGTAAAGCCAGAGTTATATATGAACATTTTGGATCAACACATAATAAATAGCGTAACTATCGAATTGAATGATGCATTCCGCCTCAACTAAACGTATAAATTAGTAGTTAGACTGCACATATATATATATATATATATATATATATATATATATATATATGTTCAACATGCCTCTAAGGTGTACGCAGATTACTTTTTGATGAGCTTCATGCAATAGTGGATCATAGTCAACACTTTTTATCGGATGACACAAAAATTGAATTCAATCTCATGACCCCTCTTGTATAATATATAAGGTTATTTGTGATATCAAATTGAATGATGTGTATCAACTAAAAATTTAAACAAATTATTAGGGAAAATTACACTTTTCTTCTTTAAGTTATAGGGTAATTATAGAATTCTTCCTAAGTGTTGGTTGTGCTCACTTTTTTCCCCTAATTAAGTTATCATTGGCATTGCAATTTGCATCATTTTATTAACTTTTCGTACTCACTTTTCGTCCATGAACTATACTAAAGTTGCAAATTTAGTCCCTAGCTAGTTAATATTTTGTTAGTAAAGGGACGAAAAGTGCAAATCAATGATAACTTAAGAACAAAAAGTGAGCATGACCAACCCTTAAAGCACGAATTCTAAAATTATCGTATAACTTAAGGATTAAAAGTGCAATTTTCCATTTATATATCATATATGCTTAACAAATGATAAAATGATAAGTGTTTCGCGAGAGATAAAAGATTTGAATGCCGCCAAGCACTTTGTGCTCAGTTGGCACATTGTATCTCTCTTTCAGGGAAGGTCACAGGTCAAACCTAACGGTGGAATATTGACTCTTTAGACTACAACAAATTATAAAAAAAATTAATAAAAATTAACAGATACTATCTTGTAATAGAGTCGATAGTCCTCAAAAAATATATAAATGTCATACCTAGGTACAAAGCAACCATTAGGCTGCCATTTCCAATACATATAATCCGTGTCAGGCCGGCCTTGTAATAAGCATGCTTGTCCGGATGGGGGTAAATAAGGACACTCAAATTCCTCGTACAATGGGTGAGATTTCTTGTCCCTAATCCACTCCCCGCTAAATATGTCACACCCCATCTCGCTCCTTCCAATTGCAAATGGTAGCACCTTATCCTCATTCTTCTGCTCCAACACAAAAATCACAAAAGAAAAAAAAAATTCAAAAAAAAAAAAAAAAAAATGAGACCAAAATTTGTGTTGAGGAGAGGTCGGTACGAGTCAAGTCTGGCAATTGACTGTTGGGGATTGTTGGGCGAAAGTCGATTTAGAGTAAGGCTCAACAATCTGCCTTTTAAAAATGTAATGACAGTATATAAGGAAATAAAGTTACGCCTTTGCTACTAACTATAATTTTTGGCGTAGTGATAAGCGTTTGTTAGGTTACGAGTTTGAGTCTCACCAAGTGCTTGATCCTAACAATTTGTGTGGAGGGTATTATGGGAAACTCACCCGTGGTGGCAGCCAGGAGTAGGCAAACGATGTTAACGATGAAGTGGAAAAGACGAGGGCATAAAAGGAAACGAACAAAGCCATGACTAGTAGCACAAAGAAGTAAGGGAGAAAGAAATTCTTTTTGAGGAAGAAGAAAGAAGAAGAGGACTCCATCTGTGTCACCATATTTCCCACAACCAAATTTTTTTTTTTTTGTTCTGCTTTTGTTATATTTTGTCCAAAGTTTTATACTATGATTTCAAGATTCTATGTATTCTACAAAAATATATGGATAATATGTTGCATTTAATAAGTGAACGCACTTGAATAAAGTACAATGTATTTGTTTTTTTATAGTTAGGGATCGTTTGGTTGGCATAAATGCACAATGAGGGGTGACATATATACCACTGGTAGTTTTCTTAATGAGTTAAAACCAAATCGGTTTCTACGAGTACAATGATTTTGTCATATTTAGTCTTAAATTTTTAAATTTATCACTTGTGTTTCTGCGAATTTTATATTGTTATAATATGTGGTCCAACTTAACCATCTATGGTCCTTCAACTATTAAGTTTTAACCAACAGTGGTCCTTTTGGGAGGACCATAGAAAGTTAAGGGACCATGGGTGGTTACTTGGATCACGAATGGTAACAATTTGAAATTCGAAGGATCATCTGTGATCAATTTGAAAATTTAGGACTAAGCGTGACAAAATCTAGAAGGCCCCATATGGCTTTAACTCTTTTCTTAAATTTGCATTAAGTTAATATTCAATATAGTCCTCGACTATAGTGATTTTACTCAATTCTAAATGACTTTTTGTACCCAATTTAGTCCCTGACGTTGATGATTTTATACAATTTAGTCTTTTTAAAAAAATTTGTTAGTTAACGGTTAGAAATAGGGTCCTAATGGTAATTTTTCATCCTTCATCATATTTGAGACGATTCTTTCTTATTCTCCTTATTAAGATCTACGCAGAAATGGAAATGATTCCTCTTCTTCCCCTTATTTATTTATGGAATAAGGTTCAAATTGGCCACTGAACGTAATCTGAAAATGCAATTAGACCACTGAACAAAAAAAAAAAAAAAAAAAAAAAAAAAAAAAAAAAAAAGTGTAATTGGACCACTGAGTACTCCAAATGTATACAATTTCACTTGATAGTAGGTTATCTGCTTACGTGGCAGCTGAATTGACATTTTTATTAATTTTTAATTTTTTTTTTTTAAAAAAAAACAAAAATTTAAAAGGACGGGGTGGCCGCCGGTCACCCCGTCATTTTTATTTTATTTTATTTTTTATTTAATTTTTGTTCAATTTTTTTTTAAATTATTAAAAATAACAAATCAACTGTCACGTAAGTGGTAACCTGCTATCCGGTGAAATTGCATACATTTAAAGTGTTCAGTGATCTAATTGCATGTTTGGAGTGTTCAGTGGTCTAATTGCACTTTTTTTTCGTTCATTGGCTAATTGCATTTTCTGTTTACATTTAGTAGCCAATTTGAACATTATTCCATTATTTATTTATTTAGAGTTGAAGTTGATTTGGATGAAGATCTACATTTGTGTGTGGGGCTTAATAAGGGGAAGAAGAAGGAATAATGCAAAATGGGATGAAGGATGAGAAATTATCATTATGGTCCTATTTCTAATAGTTAACTAACCAAATTTCAATCGTTATGCTGTGCATCCGTATGCACCATGCATGGTGCATACGGATGCCAAAACGACGTCGTTTTATTAAAAAACGCGCGTCTCCCCTTTAAAAAAAAAAAAAAATTCAGGTTCGATTCTCAGCAACAACATTATATTGTTCATTGATTATGGAATTATAGTTCATTGATTATGGAATTATAGTTCATCGATTATGGAATTATAGTTCATCGATTATGGAATTGTAGTTCATCGATTCTGAAATTTTAGTTTATAGATTATGGAATTTTAGTTCATTCATTCTGGAATTTTTAGTTCATAGATTAGATTATGGAATTATAGTTCATCGATTATGGAATTATAGTTCATCGATTATGGAATTATAGTTCATCGATTATGGAATTTTAGTTCATATGTTGTTGCTGGGAATCGAACCTGGTTTTTTTTTTTTTAAGAAGAGACGCGCGTTTTATTAAGACGACGTCGTTTTTGCATCCGTATGCACCATGCATGGTGCATACGAATGCACAGCATAATTTGCCACCGAATTTTTAACAAAGGACTAAATTGTGTAAAACCATCAAAGTCGATGACTAAACTGGACACAAAAAAGTCATTAAGAACTAACTTGAGTAAAATCACTATAGTTGAAAACTATATTGGGTATTAACTCATTTTGCATTTGATTTTATCAAAAACATAATGGTGTATTCACGTACTATCTGAAAAAATTAAAAATTTGAAAAAGAAATAAATAGAAAAGGAATAAGGTTCAAATTGGCCACTGAACGTAACCTGAAAATGCAATTAGGCCACTGAACGAAAACAAAGTGCAATTAGGCCACTGAACACTCCAAAAATGTGCAATTTCACCTGATAGCAGGTTACTTTCAATTTTAGCAGGTTATCTGCTTACGTGGCAGCTGAGTTGGCATTTTTAATAAATTTTAAATCATTTTTAATAAATTTTAATAATAAATTTTTATTTAAAAAAATAAAAACGACTTTATTTTATTTTTTATTTAATTTTTTTTCAATTTTTTATAAAATTTATTATTAAATTAATTATTAAAAATTATTAAAAATGCCAACTCAGCTGCCACGTAAGCAGGTAACCTGCTAAAATTGATGGTAACCTGCTATCCGGTGAAATTGCATACGTTTGGAGAGTTCAGTGGCCTAATTGCACGTTTTTGGAGTGTTCAGTGGCCTAATTGCACTTTTTGTTCGTTCAGTGGCCTAATTGCATTTTTAAGTTACGTTCAGTGGCCAATTTGAACCTTATTCCAATAGAAAAACATGCTTATTTGTGTATTTTTTTAAATTTGAAAAATAAAGAACTGGAAATGAAATTTTTGGAATTGAAAATGAAGAACTGAAAATGAAATGTGAAATATGTTTGTATTTAATGAGTTATGTGTGCATTAAATGTCTGAAACAAAAATTATAAATCTCTAGACATATAAATTTATATTTTTTTTTTGGGTTTGCTATAAATAGACAATTCCTCCGCATTCTAAGATATCATATCCCATTAGACGATAGCAAAGCATCCTTAGAGAGAGATAGAGAGTTATATTTACAACTTCTATTATAATATTCTTTTGTTAATACAAAAAGTTCTTTCTTTAAAATTGTCTTATTGTGTGTATGATTTACTTTAAATCTTACACTAGAAATATTTTCAATATTTACAGCTCAAATTGCTATTGTAATTAGGTGTTCTGTACTACTGTAATATCTTATATAGAAATTTGGTAAAATTTATAACAAATAAATTGAAAATATTGATTATTTAATATTATTCATTTTTTAAATATTTTTGTTCTATGAACTTAACAGGGGAATTGTATTTAGACCTGGCAATTATGGACACGACTCGTTAACA